GTGCGTGGGAAGAAAACTTCTTTTTACAGCGAAAAAAAACCCCTAAACTTCCAAGCAAGCACCGAGTGCCACGACGTAATGGGAAATCACAGAGAAACTCGCGGATTCTTCAACTGACCGCGGCACACCTGCACCAGGGTAAACCTCCGCCTACCGCAGTCCTGCTTTACAGGTGAAAATAGAGCAACAGGACCGCTGAGTCTTTGACTTTATTTATTTTCTGCTGTGTTTTACTTGCATCTATTTGAAAGAGTGAGTGTAAACACAAAAAATATTTTATTTTATGTGCTGGAATGTGTCAGAAAATAGGTTTAAATGTTAAACTAATTTATTCAAGTCAGAGAATGTTGCATAAAGTTAAAAGATTAAAACTGATAAAACAAGTTAAAAAAAGAGACTTTTCCATTTGATTACATTTTGTATGATGGATTATGTAGAAAAAGTAGAATTGGGCTGAAAGATCTATCGCTTTATCACCTCTTCAGGTTGTAAATCGTGTTTTTAAAAAGTAACTAAGTAACTAAGTAATTAATTACTTTTGAAAATAAGTAATCAGTAAAGTAACGGGATTACTTTTTTGGGGAAGTAATCAGTAATTAGTTACTGATTACTTTTTTCAAGTAACTTGACCAACACTGCCTTTAACACATTTAACTAATTATTTAACTAAGGTTACGATACATGACTGTGGTAACAAGCATTGCAACATATGTTTTATGGGTGTAAATGATAAACAAACACAAAAACAATATCACTCTGACAAAATAAGACAGACTTTTGCACTAGTGCGCCATATCTATTCATATTTACTGAAAACATCATCCACTTTAAACCTTATTTCACATACCTCATGGAGAAAGCGACTCTAATATGTGTCTGAAATCTCAGTAAATTGCTGATAAATAGACATCAACTTGTTTTGTGTTAAACTAATTTGACACAAATATTTTCTGTTTGCAAGATCAAAATGAGCTCAGTGTTCTTGGTCAACTCTAATAAGAGTTTTCAATAACTCTGCATGTAAGAAATTTATACTGAATAAAATAACGGACACTAGCTGCTCAGTTAATTTCAAAGCTTTCCTTGTGCTGAATAATAAAGATGAACTTAAGAAAATGTATCTTTATCTAAAAATGTCTTATCAGAAGATTCAGGTTTGATATCATGCAGTTCAGGTTTGCCAGGCTGTCATCCAGCTCAGGGGTCTATATGATAAGTTGTGTTATAATGTCATCACAATATCAGAGATGAACCAAAAACAGTCTGTGTGTTTTGGTCCAGGCTAGCCTGAACACCAGCCAGTAACAGATGGTGCTGTCACGGTACAAACAACAGGCATACAGCACGGAGAAGAGAATCCATGTTCGATGCTGAACATTTTCTTTACTACCTTTCTCTGCACAGCTATTTCAATAAAAAACAGCAGAGCAATAAAGCTGCTCAAACACCAAATGACAGACCCAGGTTTTATGCATCTGCTGCTGCAAAGTGCAGATAAGCAGGTTCCTGTTTTTAACCTCATACATGAACACTGTGCTGACAAAAATATCTGAAAAAGGACCATTATTTTGTAGCATCTAAAAGCCATAACACCACTGAGTATGTGCTCAAGCAGATAATTGTGGAACCTACTTATGTCTGGGTATCAGGTCCATCAACATAATGTATGCTCTATTGAAGCTGAGAGTTTCTTGTTGCAGAGACCACAACAACATCTGCACATATCAGATTGGTACAAAGGAACTAGTATTTACAATATTTAATGAAGTTAGATTAGAGTAGCAACATGTAATAAAGCCTGCAGTTTGGTGCCCAGTTAGTAAAGAGGAAGATTCAGCTAACAGGAAACCTAAATACTAATGATCGCTCCTTCTGAGTCACAGTCTTTCCTTTGCGTTGCAAATGAAAAATAAACATTAACACCTGCATGTGAGTGGGATGAAACGTCATGAGTTGACCTGATCATGAGTGGGTTCATTGGTACACTGCATGATGTCCAAAATGAATATATATATATATACAGTATGTGAGAGAGAGGTAAGGTCTCTGGCAAGAAAGCCATTAAGACTTCCTTCACTTGTTTGTCATCCAGTTTGAATCTTTTAATTCTCCTTTCGTTTCCCTGCCTTTCTTTCAGGATCTCAAAATCCAGAGCAACAAACCTCCAGAGTTTACCTTTAGATGGTGAAATCAAGTAAGACAGAATGAAGCAGACAAGGACTCAGACTCTATTGTCAGGGGCTGCACTTAAACGTACACTGAGACTCTACTTCAGGCTCTGCCTTTCCTCCCACCCCACTCTCCTTCTTCCTGCTGCTGTCTCGTGCCTCCTGTTCTCTTTCTTACTCACACACTTTTACTGTCTTCCTCTAGCTCAATCTGTTTGGAGTGGACACAAAGCATTATCTCTCTTAATTGCCACAGTCGGCCAAGAAACCCCACACACAAACACACACACAAAAGAAAGAGAAAGGAAGATAATTAAAAAACGCAGATTAAGAGAGGAAGCAGGGATGATATTTATAACACAGAACCTGGGACGGGTGAATGTTTTTCAGTGCTCGTGCTGATACAATAATTGAGTCTCAACACTTTTACAAAATCAGTATGCATAACAGGGATGTCACCAGAACTTATGATACCTTTGTTATTAAAATTATGAAAATGTGATAAAGCTTTATTTTTTTAAGATGTAAATATCACAGGCAGCACATACATATACTCCTTTTTGTAACGGGATTGATACCAACAGTGCAATCACACAACAGCAGCACTGTAGACAGGCAGACACACAGCCCCTCCCATCACTAGCAGCTGAACACCAGAACAGCAGCACAACAAACGTCTTAAAGAACAACACTGTGGCGAGAGGTCAGTAAAGCTCCCATTTAAACAGTTATCATAAATATTAACCTGGCTGTTGCACACACTAACGTTATGTGTTTAACTAGTAGCAATGACCCACATTAGCAGTCTGCTAAGTTATGGTTAAGGTAGCGGCTAACGGCTAGCGGCTAGCGGCTATGGCTAATAATAAAATAATGTCACTGTTGGGGCTAGGCAGCAAATATTATCAGTCCTAACCATCTGTAAGGTTAATAGACAGTCTGTTCACCAGGTTTCAGCCAGCAAACATCACTGAAACCTAGACGTCCTGTCTCTGGTCAAAAGTGGCAAAAACTGAACTGTAAATGGACAGATGTTGATGTTGTTTCAATCTAGAATAGAGGGTAAGTCATACGTGTCTTACAAAGTGAAAAATATAGATGAGGTCATTACAAAGAAGGAATGAAATGCATTTTTTAAAAACAAATGTGGCTAGCACACTGTTCTGGACAATGTCTTATCCACGTACACTGATTAGCATAACCAAAACCTTCTTTTACAAAACACAGCATTTTATATTTTAGTCTAAAATATTATTTTATTCTAATCCATAACGAGATTGTCCCAGACTGAAGCAGGTAAAAGTTCACCAACAAGTACACAGAAAAAGTGGCAGTCTGCCTTAACTCTTTGTGATCACTAATGAAAATGTGGTGCCAAGTCACCAGAAGCACAGGAGACAAACAGGGCTGGAGCTGAATACATTTGCACGGAACATCATTGTTCTAACTCTTATTTTTAAAAATGCCTTTTGTTTTTTTCTTCCCCTTTTCAGTATTTTCCTGGATATTGGCATCAGATTTGAAAATACCGTACTGTAAAAACCCTAAAGCAAAATTATGTTTAATAAACATGTTTTCTGCAAGATCTCTGTCGAAATTAAACTTAAGAACTGGCAAATTATTTGTTTGCATCTTAGCAAAGAATAAGAAAACACGATTATGAATCTAACCAGGCATCTGATGCCAACAGTACTTGACAGCTTTCCATATTTAGTGCTGCAGACAGTGCCAGGTCAGTGCCAGCAAACATAAAAACTCGAACGGTCAGAAAATTAATCAATAACAACTTTCATGAATGACTAATTGCCAAGACAAAAACAAGCCAAAAACGAGCACAGGATCACTGGATTCATATTGATGTAAATTCATACTGCGGTGGATCTGTATTGCTATTTTACAGTCATCTGTGTAAATATAGACACGAGTTCAGATCATACAGGGAATTCGAACAGACATATACAGTCTCCCAAATAAACACATTTTCTCTAAGCCACATACAGTAAGTGGGGTGGCTTTACTCCTGTTCACATACAGCACATGGAGAGGGACAGTGAAGAGTCCGACTAATGCCCCTGAGATGACATGAGATGAGAACAATTAATCACAGTGGAGACCGGCGAGGAGGGGATAATGGGGGAGGAAAAAAGACACAATGAAAAAAGATAGATGGGGGATGCTGGGGACAGAGAATAAAGGAAAGAGAGAAGGTGGAGGAGAGGGAGAGAAGTGAAGAGGAAGGCAGGAGCTTTGCCAGGCAGCCAGCACTCTAGTACTGCCCACTGCTGGCTCTCTGCTACACAAGCACTCCCTGGACACTGGAAATGCTTTCACTTCATAAAGCTATCTCTGACACGCAGGCTACTAAACAAGCACACACATACCTTCCAGAGTGAGTGTGCCAGACAGAGCCCACCTCACAACCCATAATCTAAAGCATGTGCAACTCTAAAATACAAATAACAAGTCTTATGCTGGACTATATTGTAAAATAGAGATGAGCACACATAAGGAGTGTATAAGCAAACAAATGATGCATTTATAAAAACCCTCCTGCCATATACCTGTCACATATAAAAACATGCTGTGTGCACAGAAGCACATTATACGCACACATATGTATGCCAAAAAACAAACACACAAGTACACACACCATATTGCTGAAGCTAAATGGAGACAGGGAGACAACTGTGAGACAGCATGACAGTTGGCAGGGACAACGGACACATCATGGAAAAACACAACAACCTCCTCCGATGAATCAACACATACTAACAACAGCAGGGCACCACACCGGTCACAAAGACTGCACGTTGACATATTGCTGGCGTTTACCTTTTTGTGCGTCGAAACATGTTGGTAGCGGCAGAGGCTGTGTTGGCAGATGAACATGAGAGCAGCTGAGCCTCCACACGTACACACACCGAAATAAACTCTCTCTCACACACACACACAGGCTCGCGCTCAGTCAAGAAGCAGCGATTACACTCCACGCTGGCATGTCAGCTTCCTCTGGCCAGTTAAAAACACACACATATTCTCTCTTTGATGTCTGTACACGTGAGCATGCCTACAGGAGTGTGTGCAAGGGAGAGAAGAGGGATTTGGAAATGTCATCTGTGTTACAGATGAAGAAAATGAGAATTTAAGTTGGAAAAAAAGGAGAGACGGGGAGAGAGAGGAGACAGGGGGAACAGGCTGCCGAGCATCCCTCTCGGAAGGAGAGAGGATTGTGGAGCTGTTTTCAAGGGTATCGTGCCAAGCCAGGAAGTGTACAGCGACAGAGCAAAAGGGGGAGGGGGGGGGGGCACCAAAGAGAGTGAGAGAGAGAGAGAAAAGGGAGGAGGAGAACGAGATAAAGGGAAGGGGTATATGCTGTATGAATGAGAGAAAGAAAGAAACAGCATGTGGGGGGAACGCAAGTGAGAGTGCAAGAATAACAGAGTGAAAGCCAATCAGAGGTGGAGAGATGAGGGGGGCAGTGAACTGGAGACTAATGTGAATGACAAGAGAGACACAGAGAGAGGCAGAGAAAGAAAGAGAGGAGGGACACTGCAATGTGATTTTCATGTGTTATTTTGTGTGTTTTTGTGTATGCTACAGCTTACACATGAGCACCACCAGACAGGGAATGACATCATTTAAAAAACAGACCATTCAAGGACAATGATGTTATATTTTTCTTTCTCTCTTTTCTGCCCCATGTACTGATGCCAACATTAACTGCCGTCTGTGTTTGCATAGTTTGCTTTAAATATTATATTATCATTATATTGTATTATCGTCAAGGGCAGCAGAGTGATGCAGTGGTTAGATTTGTTGCCTCACAGCAAGAAGGTCCTGGGTTTGAATCCACTGGCTGACTGTGTGGAGTTTTTACAGTCCAAAGACATTCATGTTAGGTTAGTTGGCCATAGTGAATGACTGTCTGTTTTCTATGTGTTAACCCTGTGATAGACTGCCAACCTGTGCCATGTGTACAATTATGATAGCTGGGATAGGATCCAAATGGATGGATGGTATTAATGTATGTAGGTTTCATGATAAACAACAACTACTAACATGTTTATTTTTTGATAATATTATCAAGCCTTGTAGTGCAAAATCTACTTACATTAACACAAGAATTAGAAGAAAGCTTTTTATAGTAACATTCAGGCTGGTTAGATAGCTGACAGTAAATTATGAAGCAATTTGTTTTTTAATCTTAAAATCACAATATTTTCCTAATTGTTATTACTTGCTTTCATTGCCTGACCCTAACCACAAATGTGTTGTCTCCCAGTCTGCTCATAGATCATCAAAAGGTGATGCTTCATTAATTCAGTCAATCAAAAATGGCCTCTGAAGCTCTGTTACTACAACTAAACTAGGTCAGGTTTGCAGTAATGTAATATTAGATATTCTAGGAGCCATCATTGCTTACTGCCTACGATACACACGTGCATTTAGTCAGAAAATTTTGACACCAATACTCTGGGTTTTTAATAAAACACTAAGTACTTTCTTGCTTTGCAGAGGCAGGTGATAAAAAGTCAAAATAATTACTGGTGTTCATGTGCAATGCAATGGTATGGGGAGCTCTATAACACAGAGGACCTACCAGGCGTTTTGCTACACTACAATACTTATTTAACAGTAGGATAAATTTATCCTTAGATCTTCTGTTAGATTTATTGGGATAATCAGAAAATATATGCAAACTCATCCCTTAAAAATATTTCTTTAAGCCAGTTATTGGTTGGTATGTTGCCTTTTTTCTATTTTTAGTTACTCCCACATGCATTGTTCTACTGCTGGAAATTAGTACTTATCTGCAGATGCAGATGGGGAAGTGAGAAATTACTGAAAAACAACAGTTGTGATCATAACTTTAAATACACTCATTGTGGGCAGAATTTTCTGTAATCCACATGGGTTCAAAAGTAAACATACAGGCTCAAATATATCCATACACTCACTTAAATCCTTTAGTAATTTGTGCTAAATGTTTTACAGGGTCTTTTAACTTATCAAGGTCAAGGTCTATTAATGTATAGTTATTGATCATGATTGAGTAGAGTTGGTTTTTTCCGAGGTCTGAAAGAGGACCTTAACTGTAAACGTCAGTTGGGAGGAGATTGGTTAGGATGTTCAGGGACCGGCAAGGCTCAAGCCTGCCATGAACTGAAAACTGCAGGAATACCAGTATCACAGTGACACAGTGAGTTTTACATCACCATGTACTGGGAGGTTGGCACTTAAAAAATAAGCCTCTGCTCCAAAATCAAGACCTTCAAGCTTGACTGAAATTTGCGGCAGCCCACATGCACAAGCCAAATGCCTTCTGGAGAAAACTTTTATGGTCAGATGATACAAATACTGAGCTGTTTGGCCACAATAACAAGACGTATGTTTGAAGGAGTAAACGTGAGGCTTTAAAACCTAAGAACATTGTACCAACTGTCAAGGATAGTGGTGCTAGCAAAATGCTCTGGAGCGTTGCTGCCAGTGGTAGTGATACATTGTACTAAGTGGATGGAATAATGAAGAATTGGAAGAAGGACTACCTCCAAATTCAACATCCAAAAGGCTGAAACTTGGACATATTCGGGGGTTCCAGCAGGACAATGATCAAAAGAACTTTTGGAATGGCCTTTCCACAGCGCTGACCTCCTCTAACCCTGTTAAAATTTTGTGGACTATGGTTAAAATTTGAGTCTTTCCTAGCAAACCAAACAAATTTAAATTAATTCTACCAATTCTGATAAGAAAAGCAGTCAAATGTCCAGCCATAGAACGGTAGAAGTTTTTGATGGTTACCAAAAGCAATCAAGATGACCAAGATGTAATTTGCTAAGGGAAATTTAACCAAATATAAGAAAATCAAAAATAAGCTTGTTCACCCAGTTCTTACTTTTTAAGTCATTAAAGATGTATGCGGCTCAGTCATTCCACCCTGTAAAAAGAACAGCTCAAAGAAATCATTAAAAGCCCTAAATCCCCATGATATTCATGCCCATGATGACAGCGTGTAAACTTCTGACCACAGCTATATGCCAGCCTTTTACTTTAATGCATGCATATAGAAACACACTGACACAGTTATGTTTTTTTTTCTAAAATATGAAATGCCAGATTGGATGAGCTCTGGCACTTGTCTCTTTGTCCTAGATATCACAGGAGCTGCTCTGCAATGCCCAACCACGAGAGATGTCATTTCTGTGTGTGTGTGCATATATGTATGCCCTCCCTCCCTCCCTCCCTCCCTTTGAAACAAATCCACCAAATGTTAAAGCTGACGTGGGGTGACAGTTGCACAGTAGTGCTGAGGGGAGTAATTCAATAATGGATGCCGTCTCTAATGTGGGAGTCTGGGTAGATAAAATATACATGGGGGAGAAGAGAAGGAGAGAAGGGGAGGAAGTGGGAGGAGGGCGGTGATATCATTGAAACACAGCGGGGGTCATAGAGAGAGGGATGGGTGGCATGATATCATATAGAAGACAAGGTGGGTGTTTCCGTGTTTCCGTGTTTTCTTGTTGGTGACCCGCCTGTCCTTCAATTTATTTTCTGCATAAACTGTCAGTCATTACACCCACTGCCCAACACGACACGCATGTAAAGAAAACCCAAAAGCAGCACCAGCTGTGAGCCTCCAGCTCTCCAGCATCACCTTCATGGCATGCTGTGACATCTGCCACCCTTCCACACAGGTCAAAGGTCACGGACAAAATACATCCAATGACAGCCGCTGGAGACACACATACATGATTCACATAAGAGCGCACACACAAACACGCATGGCCAAACCGAGTCTAACAGTAAACTGCAATAAACGTGGATACAGACGCACATTAACTACCCCTGGCATGTATAAGCTAACAGTGTCAGACTACTGCTAGCAGACATTACCTCTGCTCAGAGTAAGATGTATACAGAATACTAAACAGAGAAGTACACGCAATAAAAAAAAATGAAGTTAATAATAATTTTTTTTTAAACTGAGCTCTATGGGGAGAATTAACACCATGCTTCATATTTATAACCCCTAAACGACCAGGACAGACAGTACAACAATAACAGTTTACATGACAAACTGACATGTGAGCGAGCTAGGCGATTCACATTCAACTCATGCACAGCAAAAGTGGGCGAGCTGAAAATAAGCAGGGGAGGGAGGAAGGCATGGCTACATCGATTTCAGAAAATTTTCAAGGATTTCAACACTTGAAGCAATGACAGCGAAGAGTTAGCATATAGAGGAAAATTACACTGTCCTCCAGGTTCAAAGGTATTTGCCGGCTGCATGTTGAGCAGAAGGCAAATTTCCAAATTCTCCCTGATTTTGTGGAAGGCTTTTAACAGCAGGAGCAGCAGCAAAAGAGAGGACACAGCCAAAAAGTAAAGAGCAATTAAGACGGATGGGAGGAATAAAACAATGCTTCTGATTTTTAAGAACACCAAAATTTTTATTATATTAGCTTCCAGTATATAAATCTAGATTTAAAAATAAAAATACTCGTTTAGTTCTATTCTTATGTTGCATTCCAAGGACAAAAGAATCAATGATAAACCAGCAAAAAGTGGGGAACTTGGTTTCAGCACCATGGACAGAGACTCGCACGTCGTTTAAGCTTCTTTTATACATACATATATTTCATATTTTAACCAACATAGCTGTCAAATGTGAAGGGGTTTCACACGTTTGTGCCACACCGCGAGCCATTTTAATTGGTTCTGTCAAACCTCCAAACTTCATTCTATCCCATTCACTCCTACACTGCACAGAAAGCACCTAACTTAAGCAGAGTTTCCTTTCAGTATGAAAAGTCAGTCATATTTTTGTGAAGCTGACTCTGGATTCGATAGCTTTAACGTGGGACATTATGAAGGAATTCCCATTAATCATTTCATTCAAAGGCACAACTACAGCAAAGTGTTAGTGGGTCTTTTTCTTATAGTTTTCAAGTTATAATCTTGATGAAGTCATGTACAAAATGAGTCATACACTGCAGCCAACTCAACCAACATTTTTTGTGTTTGCAATATAAATGTTACTTAAACTTAAAACACAATGAGCGTCAGGCAACCTAAAATTATACAGAGACTCTTATTTTCTATTATTTATAAGCCGTTTCTTTCTTGTATTTTTTTCTCTCACAATGGGCATTGGACATACCCAGGGAAGTATGAGTCATGCTGATTCTAAAAATATCTGCTTCGTGTTTTTTTTCTTCATCTGCAGCCAGGAGCCAGTCAAGACAAACCGAACTTAAACTAAAACAAAACCCTAAAATAAAATAAAAGTGGGCGTAAATTTAATTCTGAAATATTAAATGTGCATAAATATTAACTGGATAAGCATTTAATTTTTAATATTGGGAAGTCAATATACACTCATGGTCACTTCATTAGGTACACCTGTTCAACTGCTTGTTAATGCAAATGTAGAATCAGCGAATCACATGGCAGGAACTCAGTCAACCTGCTGAAATTCAAACATCAGAATGGGGAAGAAAGGCTATTTAAGTGACACTGACCGTGACATGGTTTTTGATGCCAGACCGGCTGGTTGGAGTATATCATTTGATTTAAAGGGATTTTCCAACACAACCATGTCTGGAGTTTATAGATCAAAGAAAAATATCCAGTGAGTGGCAGTTGTCTGAGTGAAAATGCCTTGCTCATGTCAGATGTTTGGGGATAATGGCCGGACTGCTTCGAGCTGATAAGAAGGCAACAGTAAATCAAATAACCACAATCAACCAGAAATACCAACTGAGCATCGTTTAAGATGCTACCAGAAAATTGTTGCTCATCTTCTGATGGCTTCTTCCAGCAGGATACCACATCAAGTTGCAAAGCTCAAATCATCTCAAACTGGTTTCTTGAGCTCTCTGTACTCAAATGGCCCAATAGAGCCCCTTTGGGATGTGGTGGAATGGGAGATTCCCAACAAATGTGCAGCAAATGTGTGATGCTATCATGTCAAGATGGACCAAAATCTCTGAGGATTGTTTCCAGCACCTTGTTGAATCTTTGTCACAAAGAATTAGAGACAGCTCTGAAGTTTAATGGGTGTCAAACCCATTACTGGCAAAGGATATATGCGTACCTCAGCTTAGGTACGTGACTCTTTTCTTTTCACCTCATTGTTGCCAACCTACAATAAAGCACTTTGTGCAGAATCTATGGACACGTTCTGCTTGGCAGTTAAGGTCTTGCTCTCCCTCTGCAGACAGCTCTCTCTCCCTTTCTGTGCTCCGTTCACTAAGAGACGAATCAGCCAACCGGGGCACCCAGACTGAGGCTATGAAGAGAAAATGGTAAGAGACATTCTGTTGCTCTGAATATTTCTCTGAGAATAAATCTCAGCACAGCCTTTATCTTTACCGTATGTGTAAGGTGATTTTTGTAAGTCCTTATTTCAGTCATGTTTAAGAGCTTCGTTAACTATGTCAGGGTGCTCTTCACTGTCTGATGCCTTACTTAACCAACTGTAAGGGCTTCTTGCTATGTTTGTGTTTGTCTGCACTGTTCAGTTCAGTTCATTTTTATTTCAAACATTTCAAACATGTGCCTTCACAATCATTACAAAATATCATTCCATTATTTGTTTGAAAAGGAGTAGGCTGAAGTATTTACTTATTTGTCCCTACCCCCTCAAGTTTTACCTCTCATTCATTTAATTTTTTTGTCTTAAATTAAACAAACAACATATGAAACATATGAAGTAAAACAAAACATAACATACATAAATCAAAACAAGAAATTAGCAAGCCCCACCACAGTATAGTTTCTTTCATATGAAAAATACAGAATGTGTATATTTGCAGATACACAAGTTATGGAAAAACAACAACCAAAACAAAACAAAAAAAACAAAAAAGAACCGCAACACCATTTCCAGCAACATTACCGTCCTGGGTTAACCCCGTTTTCTTCATTCTTATACTTATTTAAAATTAGGTTTTTATATTTTACTTTAAACTGTTTTATGTTTTGACTGTCTTTTATTTCTTCTGTTAGACTGTTCCATAATTTAACTCCTGCAATTGAGATAGACATAGTTCTTAAAGTTGTTCTAGCACTTTGTATTTTTAAATTCCATTTCCCTCTTAAGTTATACCCACCTTCTCTTTCTATGAACAATTTACAGATTTCTTTGGGAAGCAGTTTATTTCTTACTTTATACATTATCTGCGCTGTTTTAAGCTTCACCAAGTCTTGGAATTTGATAGCTTGCATTTTGAAAAAGAGTGCATTTGTATGGTCCCTGTACCCTACATTATTTATTAATCTAATGGCCCTTTTCTGTATTATAGTTATTGTTTGTGTGTTACTTTTGTAGGTGTTTCCCCAGACCTCTACACAGTAGCTCATATATGGCAGTAGTAAAGCACAGTATAAAATGTGCAGTGCTTTCTGATCCAACATATGCTTTGCTTTTCCCAGGACGGCAATGCCCCGTGCCAATTTCCCCCGAACATAAGTAATGTGTGGCTTCCAACAGAGCTTGTGGTCAATGATCACCCCAAGAAATTTTATTTCATTTACTCTTTCTAAATATACATTGTCAACACATATTTCTACTTCGATATTTTTCTTTTGCACTGGGTTCACCACGGGTGGCAGTGTAGCACAGCCTGGCAGGGGAAACGTATAAGGGGCACAGGTGTAGCAGAGTGACTAATCATGCTTGGATGACGAGGAGATGACACAGTTTTTACCGATTGTTATGCTTGAACGCTCACAGTTTTAGGATAGCCACACCAGCTATGGTGTCGTCACGCAGGGCTGTTTTGTTTTGGTGACACACCAACTGTAAGTTTGCAACAGCAGATATTATATTGGTAATTCAATAAACAAGCAGTTCTCCCACCACAAGGTAAGTAACTAAACATTCGACAGCTTAAGTCCTAGGCTGCTCTGCTCTCTTTTCTCAACCCTCAGACCCCTCTCATCCACACGGGGCATTGAGGTCACAGCACGGTGCTCCTGCTGCTGATCTTTCATTGCACAGCTCAGTGGTGCAACAGATTGAACCAGCAGAGAAGCTCCATGAGTGAAAAAGCTCCTGCAAAGCTGAAACATGCTGCAGTCAGTAGATGAGGCTCCCACTACACAATAACATCATTTGACCATGACTTCTTGTAATAAAGCTGAAATGGTTCCAAGTCTT